ACTCGTCTACATCCACACTTTGTCTTGCTGCATGAGTGCTTGGCAGAAACAGTAACGCCGCGGCTCCCTGAGAGAGAGAGAGAGAGAGAGAGATTGGGAGTTTCGGTTTGATTGCCGGTACATCATGAATAGACTTTGCGAGGCGGCTCTATTCAAGTATACGATCTAGTCCGTTTTCAACCGTGCATCGGCTGTAATCTCGTTCTCGCTTGCTGATGGCTGGTGCCCTGGCTACCTGGCACTCATCTTGTCATACTCCGTACAGCTCGTCGACTTGCTGCGCGGTGTGTCGCTTCTCGATTGACGATGCTGACTCCATTTTGCCGCAGGCAACAGCATCATCATGCTTGTTAGGCCCCTTGTCCAGAGTTCACGCGACTCTGTTACTCAAGGTCAGCCATAGCTACGTATAATAGTCCCGGAGACTTTTATCCACGGAGACCCCAGCGCCCCGGCTGGATCATACACTTTTATGCACCAATGCTGGCCTACAGGCTCCATGCACCGGAGCCGGACAATGAAGCTATAGGCTCCTTCTGGTGTTCGTGTCAAGGCATGCCGAGAATGTGCGTCAAGGCAAAGATGACAATGTCTCAGTCTGGATGGCCATCTCCAAGACCCTCGTGGACCCTGCAAATCATTGGATCCCAGGGTGCCCTCCAACCCAAATTAAGCACCGACAGTGTTACCATGACAAGTGCACTTGTGTGCAGACCGCCGATCCAGGGGTAGGTAGCCCAGGCTGAATTGTCTTGGCTGTACAGATTCGCCGATGCTATTTGTAGCCTTGTCTCGACATGTATCTACCTGTTGGACTGCCTATCTTGGTATAATCCTTCGGACTATATGCGGTGCATCGTCTTTCATATGAAGCACAGATCTTTAACTTATGACAAGCTGACCAAAGAAGAAAGCACCGCATAGATTGACACTTCAGCTGGACTCTTCCACACTTTCAGTCCAGAGCTTTGATTGCTTTCTCCAGATGTGCAGGGCGGGTGGCTGAGACATTACCCATCCATCCATTGGCACCTTCAACTCTTCCGCGTCATCAGCATTGTACAATCAACCAGCCGTCTCCGCCCGGGCGATGCACTTTCGGTTCGATTTTGTTGGTTTCGATTCGTCCCGGAATCTTTAGAAACGGATACCCTCCGAGGTGCGGTAGACTCTCGATTTTGTTCATGTACATTTGTAGTTATATTGTGACATTAGCATCCTGCAGCTCAGACACCAGGATTTCCCCAACTTCCCCCGCGACGCACGGATCCCGACGGGATAGTGCGGGCGAGCGGGTGCCGGGAGTTTGTCTTCCAACTAATATGGCTTCTAGGTTTCAACACAACAACAGTTCATGGTCGTTCGGGTGATGCAGCACGTATTCCTTAGATCAGCAACAATGTCATTTCCTCTATGTGATGCGTGTTGATTTTGTCACTGCACTGGCGCTGACTTGGTGGATAATCCGCTCTGACGATCTGCGCGAACCTGTGTTCGAATCTTGAGAATCGGCTTGCGGCCATGGAGGATATCTATCACCGAGCACACCAAGTTCTTCCCCAATCATCGTGCTTCCGGTTACCACCAGAACCAACCAGGCCTGATGAACATGGGACGGGACCCCGATTTCTGCCGTTGCTTAGGTGCATGCCGTCTGTATTAAATCGTACTATGTATGTACTCCGCGATATGTCTATGCCGGCTATCACACATACGTATTGACTTGTTCAAAGAACTCTAATTCTCTGGCGTCTTTGCCGGCAAGATACTGATAACGGATACAAGCCCGTTTATCCACACAAAGAATGAGGACCACGAGCCTGGTTACAGTGAGCGTCCGGCTTATATGTGACACTTCATTCAATGACGATTATCTCTAGCCAGCAAGGTTCAGTCAATGGGAATAAGTTCTTCGTATCCACGGGTTTGGCATCTGGAAAAGACAATTCCGGACTCCGCATTCTGTGGTGGCTAGCCACCCAACTAGTACCAAGTTACGTATGTATAACGAATCCCACAGCCGCGAAAAGCGACAGCCGCCTCTTTTATGCCCCCGCTCCTCAACCTGATGTGGGATACCGAGGGGCCATCGGAGTTAGATCTGACCGCCTTGGAAGATCTATATGAATTTCTGTGTCGTCCACGTGTATGTATAGCATATCAAGATTCCGCCCTAGAATGGGAAGATGAAAGGCTCGTCGCCTGACCGCAACATATGCGGTGTCAGAGACGTCACGCAGGTACCAGAGTGATCTCTGGCGTGTCCAGCGATCGGAGGTCCATTCTGCACTCTGGCAGACCATTCCTTGCTCCTACTCCACGAGGCTCACGCAAGGGTCTGTACATGCCTGCCTGCTACTGGCTTGCATCTGTCACTGTCACTGTCGCTTGTAACTTGTAACTTGAGTGCTCTGCCGCATGTCTGGGGAAGAACCAAGAGTGAAGCAGGGGTTGGTGAATTGGCTGACAATGTCCTGAGATCTATGGGAATTACGACACTGATGTACCCTGTCACTACTCATGATACCTTACATTCTACGGGATGCAGCGTACATATGGATAACTTCCTGGGGAAATTAACTACAGCCTCTTGGTCCACTATCGATCAACCGTTCTCCAACAGACTCTCCACATAGGCACCAAAGAAATGCCTGATATCCGTTCATCCTTACTTCGGAGATGTCAAAGAGAGGTCTCATTCCCGGGCTACATGTGCAAGCTTGACTAGTATGCGTCTACTCTGTACGGCTGTGCAACTTCGGGTCCTGGTCGCTCAAGCAGGAGATGCTTTGCAGTCAGCGAAGACCGACAAGTTGCACAAAGGCGCAGATTGGTTTGCGCCCGTTGTCAGTGTCAGATTGATAGACTCGAAAATGCAAAGTGCTAGCCAACAGTGGACATCCAGACATCCTACTCCGTACAAGAGGCCAATATGAAGAAGTTCGAGACAGTGCTGGGTGTCTCGAGTTTGCACCGTTCACAAAGTCACTCGAAAACAGACCGGAATCCTTGCCTAAGTTTGTCTAAGACTCCAGACATCCCATCGGGGCCCCATTGCCCGCCCCCACCATCCCGCATCTTTATATGCTTACATGATTGGTTCTTGGCTTCATGGCGGAATTCCCCCAAACAGGATTTTGGCTGTCTGCTCACTTCACACCCCGACCCTTGATCTGCTAGGTTCCAGCAGCTTTTCTAGAAGCCTGCGCCCCTGCATCCTTGTGGTACAGCGGAGGGAGCTTGGACCAAGCTGTCAGGCTTCTGATTGCCCGCAGAAAAAAATATGCGCCAGCTCTTGCATATGAATCAGCAGCGATACTTCCTCTGTGGGATGCACGAGGCGAGCCTCAGCAGACTTTTGTGACTTTCAATCCTCGGTTTTCCTTTTAGCACCCGTGCTTCTTAGGTAAGTTTTTTCCCCATGCTCAGAGTGGAATTGGATGATCATTGCAAAGCTACCTACCTACTACGTACATACATATGTACATACCATGCAGACTAAGGAAATGTTGCTGATCAGCGAGACCTTGGCCACGTCTGTATGTAGTTGGCCTCTCGTCCATGGAATGGGGATTCGCTACCACTTACCAGGAAACGATGATTCGCCTACAAGACCGACCCGAGGAGATTTGTTGACCGGTTCCGTTATGTGGTTACTAACCTCACTAACTACACCGGCAGTTTTATGGATGGCTCATGGGCCATGGCTGTACGTATCCGTTCACATTTGTTTTGTTGGCGATGGGGCTCATCTGCGACGCTTGACGGTAGCTACCTAGTAGCCTACCTTAGGTAGGTATGTTGGACGCGATGCCCAAAGAGTCTTGGGTTCAATCTGCACGTCGACTCTTGCGATGGCGCTTCCGCCTAGCCGCATCTGCTTGATCCATGGCCAATCTCCTCGTCTCAGGTCAAGGCAAGTTGTAAGAGGGTGAGGGTCGCCCTTGTCATGTGTGTCTTGAGCCTCTCCGGATGGGTACTTGCAGTCTCGTTACTTTACCACCATCTGCTGCGAGCGAGCGAGCGCCAAGTCTGAAATGAAATGAGTTGATGTGAAAAATGAAACGAAACACGAGCCCTAATCAAGCGTTGAACGGTTAAGCGCCACGAAAAACCAAAGTCGAGAATGGAATAGCATGGAATGGGAAATGCACCCGCTTGAAATTGGCAAAAGACAGTTTCCATCCATTCATTGACCACGACATTATTAGCAAAGTTTCCTGGTCTTGTCAGACGCAGACACAGACACAGACAGAGCCTCGTCTCCCAGGGGCTACCGCTTTCAGGCACGGCACGGCGCAAGAGGTGGGCTCGGTATACCAAGGGCAGCCGCGGTTGAAAGGAGTCTCCAAACGGGCCGGCTTGTCTTGATTCTCCATTTATTATGAAAATGGAGTGGCTATCAATGGATCATGAGAAAGCGTGAGCCTGTGAGGACAGGTCGACGAACATGACCGCAACGCAAAGCAAAGCAAAGCAAAGCACCACAAAACAACGGTGCGGTGGCCGGGCCGTTGACGGCCGTAAAAGGCAACTCGAGCGTGACCTCAAATGATTGGGTTAAACGTGGTGCCTTGTCTTGCCCTGAAGCTTCTATTGGCTCAGAAGATATTCGAGAAAGGGGACATGTCATTGGCCGCCCAGCCATCGGTTAATCACAACCACCCCCACGCTGACCAGGCCAAATTGCAAAATCAAAACTCGCCCATATCTTTCACAAGTTGAAAATTTTTCCCTTTGCAACCACACAAGCTCACAAAGTTGGGGTCAACCGCAACCACAACCACAACCATTCCACTGGGCGCCACGAGGTATTCAACAAGATATGCCACGCTTAGGCGCTGATCGCCGACAGCGGCTGCAACCCAAGGCTATCATCGCGTCGATTCTATCGTCATGGTTCCAATCTGAGAATCTCTGAGCTGTCTTGGAAGCGGCCGCCTCCGACACGGCTACGTGCATTTGGATTCGAATGCTGGATGTGAAATTTGCTGCCTGACATGGCTGGGATAGCAATATCTCCAGCCCTCGCGTCGCAGCTATTCGCCATTCAGCATGGCATCATCTTTGCATCTGTCTGCTGCAAGAGCCTCAAGCATGAGGCAATGCTATAATAGGTTTTCCGTGACACTAACTTGTTCCCAACAGTTTCTCGCGTGTAATGTTTGCCAGCAACCGCGTTGGGATCTCCTCAGCGTGGTAATCGGCATTCAGTGTCTGCTCTCCATAGACCTGGATGTTTTTGCTCTGGCATAGATAAATCCGAACTCGTTGCTGGGCACCCGACTTTGAGAATGTCGTCTTGACTTCTTGGACAAGTCGGGAATCAGCTGTAGGCACATAATGAATGATTCTGGAGTATTTTGATATCCAGCCAGGTCGATAAAAACGACCAGTAGTTTTTGATGACGGCAACAGCTCCAATAGCTGCGAGCCTTGATGAGTCGGCAGTTGACACATTGGTTGGGATCATGAGGGCCACCTTGCATCATGAATGTGGCTTACGTCGCGTGGGATTGACGGCGATAGCTGCTGGTCTCTATACCCTTCCTGTCTCGTGTCTTTCTGGTCACTCGAGTAGGTGTTTGAATCTCACAACCACTCTCACTCATTCGCACATTGAAACCGATCATCAACGATCGGCGGGGTGTTCCGAACCGGGCGAACGGCGTCGCCGATTGGTAACTAAGAATTTGGGTGTGAATAGCTCCCGAGATGGCTAACATGGAAGTTGATTGATTGATTGATTGATTACTTGCTTGCTCTACCTTGATGACTTGCCTTGTTTGAACAATGATGCTGACACATTACGGGAGACTAAGGGAACTAGAACAACTGGTTTTCGTCTCGTGTTGCATTTGCCGTGTTTCGGAGCGAACCACGACGAGAAGAAGCTGGAACTTGGGCTGTTTGATGCCAAAACTATCCGATGTTGGCGGGTCTACTTGGTCTGGAGGATCGATCGTCATCAAGTTGACCTGACTTTACTTGTGCTTATGTTCGCCCATGCAATAGTGCTTCTATCTGGTTCAATCACACAAGTCTCACAGGGCTTGCTTGCAATGCTGCCAGTGACGTGACGAGCACGGCTGGGTCCGATGAGATGGAAAGAGGTGCCATATGCAGCAGGTGGTGGCCGATCACTGCGACTAAGATGGTGTTGTCGAGGTTCATGATCCTTTTGCAGGGTTAGAAATTAGTTTAGTATAGTATATTAATACTAAAAAAAAGTTACTAATAGTATACTAATATTATTAAATTTAATATTAGTATTACCAATATTAAAATTTTTTAGTATTAATATTATTAATTTTAAAGTTTTTAAATATTAGTTTTAATATATTAATATTAAAATTAAATTAATTAGTAAATATTAAAATAAATATACTAATTAATATAAATATTAATAGTTTTTTTATTAAATTAAAATACTAAAATATACTAAAAACTAATTAATTTTTAAAAAAGAAAATATTTAAAATAAAAGAAATAAAATTTAATAATTAACTTAAATTAATAATAAAATTTTTTATATATAGTAAGAATTATAAAATAATTTACTTAAAAGTTTTTTTTAAAATATTATAACTAATTATAATATTATATTTAAAAGTTAATTTTATAAATAATACTTATTAATATAAATAGAGTTTTTATATTATTTACAATAAATAATTATAGAGGTATATATATTAAAAAAATTAGAAAAATTTAAGCTTTTTAATAATATACTTATTAAAGTAAAATATAAAGCTTTAAAGAAGTTTTAAAAATAAACTTTATTTATTAAACTTTATTTTTTTTTTAATAAAAATATATTAATAATAAAGTTATATAACTTAAATTATATAATTATAATAAAATAAGATTTATAAATTTTAAGTTTTATCCCTTATTTATATAATTTATAATATATTAATAGGAGTTCTATTTTTCTTTTTAAGCTTTATTGGCTTAAAAGGGCTTAATATTACCTAAATAAAATAAAAAGTATACTATATTTTTCTCTAAATTTTAGTGGTTTTTATAATATCTATTATATTATAGCTAAACCTTCTCTTTTTTAGTAATAATAAAGCCTACTCTTTTAGAAATCTATATAAACCCTAATATTTTCCTACTTTATAACTTCTTTTTTCTTTAGTTACTTTCTATCTTATAATTATATAATATATATTATTAAATTCAGAAAAAATCATTCTATTTAATAGGCCTACTTTTATTATATTTCCTTTACCTTATATTTACTTATCCTATAGTTATAACCTTTTTTTCTAATAATTTTATCCTACCTCTTATATCTATTATAGTTATATATCCTTCTTTTTATAAGGAATTTATTTCTTAGTTTATAGTTTAATTTATAGGTTATATACTTAAAGCCTTATCTGCCCCTATTAAAGAAAAAAACTTAAAAAATAAAGAATTTTCTTTTATTTTCTTATATATCCTTACTTAAGATTATACTTTTATAACTATATTTATTAAGGATAGTATTACCTTAAAAAAAAATATAACTATAATTCTTTATTTTTTTTACTTAAAGAATAAGCTACTTCTTTTAAATCTTAAAATAAAATATAAATTTTTACCTATTTATATAGATTTTTCTAAAATTTAAAATATATATTATATAGCTAAAAAAGCTAAAAAGTCCCTTTAAGGAGACTTTAATCCTTAAGCTTTAAGCTTTATTAATATTTTTTATTTTTTTTTTATTTTTAATTATTTTTAATTAATATATATTTTAAGTTAAAATCCCTTATTATATTTCTTTTTATTATTATTATTATTTTTATAGTCTTTTATAAAATTAAAGACTAAAGTTATTATAACTTAAGACTTAAAGGTAAATATATATAATTATAACTTTTTTTATTTTTTAATTAATATATTTTC